ATTGTGACTGATTTAATCAACCTCAAATTTGATAGTTAAAAATCTAGATGTGATATTTAAGTTACCCAAATGTCTTATAGGCAAATGAATTCAAATTCATCCTACACTAATTGATATCAAAGGATGTCTTTCAGCTCCAACAGGTTATGCGAATTCTCCTCCTGAAAATGCTCCATATTAACCTTAAGGAATGTGCCATTAATGTTGTGCTCTGGGATTTATTCTCTCTTCTGAGGTTTTAGAAGATATCTTGAAAAGGTTAAAGCTATTCAACTGGTGAGATGGCTGGAAGACAAACTAGAATATTAGGTCTTCACCTTTATCCCCTATTTCCCTAAATCTATCTAATCTTCTAGTCTCTTTCGCATATTTTCTCTCTATTCCTCCATATTGTAGGAGAACTGTGCTTCTACCATTACTTGTACTACATTACACAGTGCATAGGTATGCCACATTTGACAAGGAATTCTATGTCGTTATCCTAACACATCATTGTTGGTGTATTCTTTGCTCCCCAAGAAATTTGTTATCTATTATGCTAACAAGGTTCTTAAAGTGTCTGCTTGACTAGGCTTCTGCTTTTATTTGTATCATAAGAAATCAGGAGTCTGGTGAAATGCCAAAAGACAAATGTGTTTTAAAGTAAAAAAAAATATTTGTTTTTAGTTTTCGAGTTTTGATAAATGTGAAACCAAAAGTTAGAAATAGATATCTCTGGGATATAGCTTGTATTTTTTTCAGTGTAAAAAAATTATATATTCAAGAGCACCAAGGAGGTGTACCCGTGAATAAAAAGAATTTACAAATTGGTCAAAATATCTATTCCCAAAGTCATCATTAGAACAAAGCAGATCCCCTAATCACATAACTTGGTTTTGACATTAAGTGTCCTTAAATATGTCGAGATTAAATTCAATCCCTCTCAAAAGTCTTTTTCTTCCTTTCTTTCTATAAGACCCAGAAGATGGATAAAGATATAATCTATATCCTCCTCCTCCCTTTGTAATCCACCCCAAGCATAGAGTTCCCACTTGATTGACCCTACTATAACCCACGGCAACCCCAAGAGTCCATAAGACAAACTCCAGAGCCTGTGGGCAAGTGGGCACCATAAAAGAATGTGATTACAAGTTTCTTCACCACTATTACATAAATAACATCTATTTTCGAAACAACTCTGCCTCTTTTAATCCGCTTATCTAGAGCGAGAATATTTTTAATGAGTATTTTTAATAGTTTTAATGAGTATATTTATTAATTTATGTTTTATTGTTTCTTTTGGAATGTGAAAATAAAAATGTTTTATTTTTTAAGAGTAGGTGTTGGGGGATAGGAGAGAGGAGGTGACACATTTATTTTTTGCTGACAATGCTCTATTGTTTTGTGAGCCGGACAAGAAAGCTTTGCTTAATCTGAGATGTGTCCTTATAAGTTTTCAGGCAGTTTTATGGCTCAATATTAATTTGACCAAGTCTGAGTTGGTTAGTCAGGGAGGAGGATCAGGAGGGTTTGGCTAGTGTTCTGGAATGCAGTGTGGCCAAGTTAACTATCAGATATACTCTACACTTTTATCTCAAAAAAAAAGTCGCCTATCAGATATTTGGGTATGCCTTTGGGAGCAAACTATAAGGAAACAAAGACTTGAGAACCAATGGTGAATAGGTTTAACCAGAGACTTACTGAGTGGAAAAGGAGCTTACTCTCAGAAGGAAGAAGACTCACTCTTGTTAGAAGCACTTTAAGTAATTTACCTATTTACTATTCGTCTATCCTGACCATTCCAATTAGTGTTGCCAAGAAATTGGAGGCTATTCAATGCAAGTTCCTATGAGTGACCTGAAAATAGAAGAAAATACACTTAGCTGTATGGAATGAACTTAAGAACCAATTCCCTTTGGTGGTTTGGGTCTTTGGTGAAAGAA